GAGAAAGAGTTGTCATCATCATAGCTCAACCTCACTAAGAGGAAGAGCTTCATCTCAGCTCATCCCCGGCTAGAGGAAGCGCTCAATCTCAACTCATCTTCATCCTCATCCAAAAAAAGAACTTCGATCGTTTGATCCACCATGGCAGATCCAACTTAGGGGCTGCCGACCTACATTCTAATGGGGGCCAAGTACTCCCACATGGCATAAGTGCCAAGGTACAATTCAAAACCAAATTCAAGCCTCCAAACTTCCGAGTTCGAGGTGAGATGTACTCTTATAAAAGAAAATTCAAACCTCTAAACTTACGAGTTCGAGGTGAGATGTAGTCTTATAAAAGAAAATTCAAACCTCTAAACTTACGAGTTCGAGGTGCGATGTAATTTGTCAAGAAAAAATTCAAACCTCTAAACTTATGAGTTCGAGGTGCGATGTAATTTGATAAAAGACAATTCAAACCTCTAAACTTACGAGTTTGAGATACGATGTAATTTGTCAAGAAAAAATTCAAACCTCTATACTTATGAGTTCGAGGTGCGATGTAATTTGATAAAAGACAATTCAAACCTCTAAACTTACGAGTTCGAGGTGCGATGTAATCTGATAAAAGAAAATTCAAACCTCTAAACTTACGAGTTCGAGGTGCGATGTAATTTGATAAGAAAAAATTAAAACCTTTAAACTTACGAGTCCGAGGTGTGATGTACGAAAAATTACGACAAGTTCGAAATGACAAAGATGAGATTGAATTCACCCAATACAAAGTATGCAGGTCCTACTCCAACTCCTAAGCGCCCAGCTTAGGCCGAGCTTCTCAGCTCTTACTCCAACTCCTAAGCATCCAGCTTAGGCCGAGCTTCACAGCTCCTACTCCAACTCCTAAGCGTCTAGCTTAGGCCGAGCTTCTCAGCTCTTACTCTAACCCTAAGCGCCAAGCTTAGGATGAGCTTCTCAGCTTTTACTTCAGACTCCTAAGCGCCCAATTTAGGTCAAGCTTCTTCAAATACCAAACTTAATCAACATGGCAAGTCTAAGTTGAGTTTCTCAAAGTTGGCTCAAGTCATGACCATAAATAACACTGTGTTCGATGTCCGACCTACTATATATTGTTCGATGTCCGACATGTGATCTACTTCAATCTCGAAAGATGGAAGTCACCACTTAGGCAAATTTTCAAACCCAGGAAAAACTTCTCTGCCATGTCGAACTCGGACCAGCCAGAGAGGGGGCCAATGTTTGGGGGGTTTAAAATCGTACTGCCACGTGGAGGACAGAAAAAGGTCCAAGTTTGGAGGTCTTCCCTTTGGTGGCCGACTTGAAGTGGGCGACCTGATGATCTTTCCTTTGGTGACCGACCTGAAGTGGGCGACTTGAAGATCTTCCTTTTGGTAGCTGATCTAAAGAGCTCCACGAGGGCCGACTTGAAGGTCTTGCCTGAAGAGCTCTCTAAGGGCCGACCTGAAGGCCTTGCCTGATGGCCGACCTGAAGACCTTCCCTGAAGGTCGATCTGAAGGTCTTCCCTGAAGATCATTCAAGGGAGGAACGACCTTCCATACTTGGTCAAATTCCAGATSACAAGAGTATGAACTGGAATAGCTACTCYCGATAGGCCGACCTTGGTTCCAAYATGCTCAACCGCTGGTCGGATTCCTTGTCGGGTACCTCAACCTATAAATAAGGYACTTCACTCTTCAGTCAGGTATCGTATGCTAGCTCGGTCTCCATACTAAGGTTGGACTCAAAACTGACTTGAGCGTCRGAGTGTTTGTTCCCTTATGCAGGTCTTTCCTCGCCAAGTGGCCTTTCAGCTCATTCTTGACACCAGCTCATCCTAGTCAGCCGATCTTGACCCTTCAAGCTGGTCATCCATTTTCAAAGATACCCAAGCTCTTCCCACGGTCATACTTGGAGCAGGTCGAGCTCTTCCGCATGGTCGACCTTGATCAGGTCATACCCCGTCACATTTTTTGCATAAACATATTCTATTTCTCGCCAACCATTTTCTCATAATTAAGCTTTAAACCCTTAGTAAATTTCTTGAAGAAGTATTTATTCTTTATAAACAATTTTTTATTTTTATTTTTTGTTTATGTTGTCTTTGTTTAAGTAGTCATGTCGTCTACTTGATGACAAACTTATTGTTGTATGCATGAGAGAGAAAATATGTTTCGATAAATATAATTTAACATATGGTATAGTTTGTCCTGGTACCTTATCGTATTTGCAAAATAAAATCACATAATTAAGCAATTGCTTCTTTTGAGCAGGCACTGTGGAAGACAAGTTTTTATCTATAGTTTTAAATAGATTCTTTTGAGAAAAATATTCTTAATTTAATGTAATTCATTTTAATTCTATCCATAAAAATTATTTTAATTGTAATAAAAGTAATGAAATAATTTTTTTGAAAAAAAAACAATGAAATAAACAAAGCATAAATTATCATTATTAAGGATAGATTTGAAATTTAAAATTAAAGGATAAATAGATCCAAAAATGATTCTCAACCATTGATTTTTTTTAGGTTAACAATATGGAGAGTAAAGCTTAAATTCCCTAACCTTTTAATCGAGGTATTAATAATGTCTTAACCAATTGAGCTATTGGTAAAATAAGATATATATATATATATATATATATATAAACACAATAAGATATTTTTAATATAACATGATTCATTAATATTCTAGGCATAAATATTATTTTAATTATAATAGAAGTAATGAAATAAATAAAGCAGCTATATTATCATTAAGAATAGGTTTAAAACTTTAAAATTATATAAAGAATAAATAAATAAATAATGTTCCTAAAAAAAGTAAAATATGATTCTCAACTATCTCACATTTTAATTTAGTAAAAATTAAAATAAAGATAAATATATTAACAATTACATTTGTTACTTTTGTTGAAAAAACGATTGTCTTGAACTTCAATACTAAAGTTAGTTTCTCTATTTGTAAATAATTGAATCCTAAAACTTTAGAATATAATAATTTAATTTATATAGTTTAAAATTTGTAAAAATTGAATTACTATGGTAGAAAATCTCATCAAGGAGAAGGAGAAGTATCRTATATAAATAACATCACTTTGACAAAACTTTAAGTTACAAATACTATAAACAGTTACAAATTTTAGACTATAAAATCAGGTCCGTTTGATAACTATTTTATTATTTCTTTTATATTCCGTGCTTGAAAATTAAGGTGTAAACACTACTTTCACTGATGTATTCATTTACTTTTCTTTTTATATTTTAGAAACGTTTTCAAAACTTAAGCTAAAATTTAGAAACTAAAAATAGTAGTTTTTAAAAATTTATTTTTATTTTTAAAATTTGACTAAAAATTCAAGATTATTTTTTAAGAAATGACAGAAAAAAATTATGAACAATAACTTAGAGTGACACATTACATCATTCATCTTCAGATTTTTCATACTCAAACATGACCAATCCAACACAATTTTAAGAAACAGAACAAGAAGAACAAAATGATTATTTATTATTATTATTATTTTTAGTAGATGAACAAAATGATTATTAAACCAACCTAAATTATTATCTATGTACTCCATTGGCTAATGTGCCAATAACTTTGTAAAGATATTTATACATGGATAATAAATGATA